TGTTAAAAGATTGACTGTTTCCTTTATTTGCAAATTATATGACATGATGAAAAATTACTTCATTTAATGAATATTTGAACTTATAATTTTAATCATATAATATAGGAATTCTTGAGATTAAAGGATTTAGGAGTCCATGGTTTGAAACTATTATTGTGCCCTGGATATGTACTTGACTGCCTCCTGCTCCCCGCTGCAGCTGTAGCCCACCTCCGCTTTTGCCAGCAGACTACGCCAGTTTCAGGCAGGAAGTTAAAATGATGATGAGCAGGTGTAAAGACGCAAGCACTGGAAAGAGAAAGCTGTGCAGAGGAAAAGAAGGACTTGAATAATCCATTTTCTATCAGAAACGAATGCTTATGGGCCTCTTCATCCCGTGATGTTTTTGTATTTTAAAGTCTTCAAAGTAAATTTTTAATGTTGGTATTAAATTTTTATAATTATAGTTTAAGAGTTGTAAGTCTGGGTTTTTAGGCAAAATAAGTGAAAGCCTTTTTTTTCCTGATTTAAGTGAAAAATATCTTCATACTGTTATCTGCAAATGTAAAGGAAGGATCACACTCAGTTAACTCTCTTATTTCTTTGTATTACAGAGAGAGAGAGTGTGTGTGTATATGTGTGTGTGTGTAGCCAGAATCAACCGTAAACTTTGAAAAATAATATTTAATGAAAATTGGAAACAAGATTTAAAATATGCATACATAGAAAAGCAGGATGAAGAACAATATGCAAGTTTGCTAACCTTTTTTAAAAGAATATATTTGCAGAGCTGCTGTAGATATAGTGGTTGTAATGAGGCTGCCTTGGTTCTCTTCCAGACTGCATCCTTTATCAGCAACGTGGCCTTGAAGACCTAACTCATATCTCTGTGCCTCAATTTCTACTCTATTAAATGGATGATAATAATAATTAGATAAGTTTATACAAGTAAAGAGCTTAGAAATGCACGGCAAATGATACCCATTCAGTAAATGTTTTTAGTAATAATAATATGGTGCTCAGAATTATTGTATATGCTGATCTTGTGCATAGAATTTCCTTAGAAGGATGCATATAAAAAAGTGGCAGAGTATAATTCTGGGAGGGGAGAGAAGGATCAGGGTAGAAGTTATGCCTATGTTAACATTTTATACTTGTATGTAAGTGCTTAACTATTTCTAAGATTTTTCTTTAACAGTTTAGAAGAGTTCAAGGAATTTAATGTCATGGAATTTCTCTGTGATTATACTTGTCTTAAGATATTCCTAGTACTTCAAAAATAATGCAGTAAACTGATTTGAAGATTTTGTTTTCAGGTATAAAGTTGGAAATTTGCCTCTCAGAATATAATCTTTGTATAGGGTTTTGGGGCTTGGGATTCCCAAACTCCATGGATTGTTCAAGTATTAATAATGGTAACATTATTTTATAATCATAAGTGACTAAACATTTTTAGTTATGAGATTGACAGCTGTTGAAAAGAAATAGTTTTGCAAATGTAATAATATATTATATTCTAGAATCTCTTCCCCAAATTCTCAGGCTTGAAAAGTTTAAAGCCAAGTAGTCAGTAGCTCATCAGCATTATGAGAGCAAGATTAAGGCTAGGACATATTCAGTATCACAAAGTTATGTCAGTATCCCTGTGATTGAATTTCAGAACATTTTATAAGAATAAGCTTAATAATCAATAACTTGTTTACCTCATGATTTTTATGTTAATTTTAAATATATAATGATTAAATATGTTTTAATTTTTAGCTTTTTGCACTGACTCCTCTTCTCTCAGACTAAGCACTCTCCAGCTGGTCAGGAATCACATGGCTGTTCACTATAATAAAATCCTTTCAGCCAAAGGTAAAAATGTACATATATGAAATTTCTGTGTCCATTTTAAAACTCCAACTTCACTTCTTATTAGAATAAATCTATAGCAAAAATGTTTGGTATAGTGAAATATCAGGTATTGACTCTATATATGTAGCAAATTCAGAATGTTATTTTTGTTAACCATACTTTGAAATCTGTATAATGTCTATGTTATTTCATTTTACCTGTTATCCCTAATATTATTTTGTTGTTAGATATTGCTCTTAATATAATAAAACTTTCTGATCTTTTTTTTCAAATGTACTAAAGAGGTTACACAAAGAAGATGCTAGCTACTATTCTTTTTTTTTCCTTTTTTATCTTTATTGAGATATAACCTACGTACAATAAAATAAAATAATTATAAGTGTAGTTAAATATTTTTTAAAATGTATACATTTTTATAAGCACCACCACAATCATGCTATAAAACAGATGTCAGCTAACTACAGCTCGAAGGCCAAATCCTCCTGCCACCTGTTTTTGTACAGCTCATGAACTAAGTGTGGTGTTTACATTTTTAAATGGTTGCAAAGAATCAAAAGAACAATATTTGGGACATGTGAAAATCATGAAATTCAAATTTAATTGTCCATAAACAAACACAGTCTGTTCATTCTTTTACACATTGTCTATGGCAGCTTTTGCACTAAAAGGTGTGACATGTGAAAATCATGAAATTCAAATTTAATTGTCCGTAAACAAACACAGTCTGTTCATTCTTTTACACATTGTCTATGGCAGCTTTTGCACTAAAAGGCAGAGTTGACTGATTGTGGCAGACTGTTTTACTCTGCAAAGCCTGAAGCATTTACCGTCTGGCCCTTTACAGAAAAAGTTTGCTGACCCCGATATAGAACATTTCCATCCCCCTAAAGAGTTTCCCTTAGTCCTTTGCAATTAATTCCCTCCCCCGAAAATCACTGGCAACCACTGATCTGCTCTCTGTCACTATAGTTTTGCCTTTTCTAGAATTTTGTATAAATGGAATCATACAGTATGTATCTTTTTGCTTCTGGCTTCTTTCAATGAGCCTATTTTTGAGACTAATTCATGTTGTGTGTATCAGTATTTCTTTTATTGCTAAGCAGTATTTCATTTAATGAAATAAATGAAATTTATCAATTCACCAGTTGGTGGGCATTTGCATTGTTTTGACTCACTTTTGGCTATTAGGAATAAAGCTGCTATAAACATTCACATACAGTCTTTGAACATGTGATTCCATTTCATTTGGGTAAATTTACTCGCTAAGAGTGGAACAGTAAGGTAATACAATATGTTAAGTTTATATTTAACTTTTAAGAAGCTACCAAACTGTTTTCTAGAGTGACTATACCATTTTGTATTTCCATTACTTCTAAATCCGAGGCAACACTTGATCTTGGCAGTTTTTTTTAGCCATTCCAGTAGATATGTAGTAATATCTCTTCATAGTTTTAGTTGCATTTCCCTGATGCCTAATGATACTGAGCAACTTTTCTTATTTGTCATCTATTTATCTTCTTTGGTGAAATGTGTGTTCAAATAAATTTTTTTAAATGGGTGGTTGTTCTCCTTAGTATTAAGTTGTGAGAGTTCTTTATATATTAATTACAGGTCCTCTATCAGATATATGTTTTGTAAATATTTTTTCCCAGTCTGTGGCTGGTCTTCTCATTTTCTTTTTAAGATTTTTATTCTGTAATCATTTTTAGACTTATAGAAAACTTCAAAAACAATACAGAGAGTTACCTTATACCCTTTACCCAGCTTCCCCTAATGTTAAAATTTTCAACACTATACTACAATGATCAAAATCAGGAAATTAATATTGGTACAATACTAATAACTACAGACCTTATTTGAATTTCACCAGGTTTTTATTAATGTCTTTTAAAAATTTATTTTCTCATTTGTAGAGCTAAAGTTTTTAAATTTTAGTTCATATTTTATAATGTTTCTATTTTTAAATGGTTAAAAAATAATATTTTATGATGTGGAAATCATGTGAGATGAAGTTTAGTTTTTCTTTTTTATATAGTTTGTGTTTTTCATATTCAGTTCATGAAATCTTTGCCTCATGTTAGGTCACTAAAATTTTCTTAATGTGTTTCCTTCTGTAAGTTTTATACTTTTGGCTCTTACATTTAAGTTTGTAATCATTTTGAGTTAGATTTTATATGTTACAATACAAGGATCTTTTTTTTGGCCTATTTATATCTGAATTTTCCAGTACCACTTGTTGAAGAGATTATCCTTTCTCTATTAAATTGCCTTAGCACTTTTTGAAAGCCGGTTGACCACGTATACGGGTCTGTTTCTGGACTTACTTTTTGGTTCTGTTGATCTATATGTCTATCTTTATGCCATACCATACTACCTTAATTACCATAGTATTAAAATAAGTCTTGAAATCGGGTAGTGTAAGTCCTCCATTTTTCTCTTTTTTGTAATTGGAGTCCCAAAACAAGCTTGAAAAAAAATTTCAAGCTTGTTTTGGGACTCCAATTACAAGTATGTTAAGGTTCATGGTAATGGTAGGTTAGGTCAGTGATGCTCAGTTCATTTCTTCTTCAGTCTTTCTTTGTTTCATTTTGAATAGTTTATATAGTTATATTTTCAAGTTCACTAATATTTTCTTCTGCTGTATCTAATGAGCTGTTAAACCCAATCAGTGTACTTTTTATCAAGGATATTATATTTTTTGTCTCTAGAAGTACAATGAAAATCAAAACAAGAAACTGCAAGTTCTGAAACTTTTTGTGATTTCCATATTTTGTATTTGTTGTCATTTATAAATATTAAGAGTATTATCGAACGACTAATTTTTCTCTTTCAGCTGCAGTAGACTGCTCAGTTCCAGTAAGCCTGAGTGCCAGCATCAAATGCAAGTAATTTTTGACATCCCTTTTCTAAAAAATTACAGTAAAATACATGTAACAAATAACATAAAATTTACCATCTTAACCATTTAAAAATGTTCGGTTCAGTGGCATTAAGTACATTTATATTGCACTGTGATACAGGCATCACTACCATCCATCACCAGAACTCTCTTCATCTTGCAAAACTGAAACTCTTGTACTCATTAAACAATAACTCCCTTACCCCAAACCCAAACCCTGAAAACCACCGTTTGGCTTTCTGTTTCTATGAATTTGACTACTCTAGGTACCTCACATAAGTGGAATCATTGAGTATTTATTCTGTTGTGACTGGCTTATTTCATTTAGCATAATGTCCTTAAGGTTTATCCATATTGTTACATTCCAGAGTCTGCTTTTTTTTTTTTAAGGCTGAATATTTCATTGTGTATATACCACATTTTGTTCATGCAGTCATCAGTTGATGGACACTTAGGTTGCTTCCACCTTTTGGCTATTGTGAATAATGCTTCTGTGGATATGAGTGTGCAAATATCTCTTGAAACCCTGCTTTCAAATATTTTAGGTAAATATCCAGAAGTAAAATTGCTAGATTGTATGGTAATTCTATTTTTAATTTATAGAAGATCCACCATACTGTTTTCTATAGTAGCTGCACCATTTTATGATCCCACCAAAAATGCACAAGGATTCTAGTTTCTCCACATCTTCCCCAAAACTTGTTTCATGCTATTTTTTTGATAGTAGCCATCCTAAACGATGTTAACATATTGCCTTTTTAAAAAGTGTTTCTAACTTTTAAAAATTATTCATAAATATGAAAGAAGCTTGTATTGTATTTCTAAGTTTAGGAACTTAGAATTGAGCCCAGCTTTTGCCACTGAATTACTGTGTGACCTTGGATAAATTATTTAACTTCTCTGGATTTCATTTTTCTAATATATAAAAATTTGGATACTACTAAAAGGCTTGCCAAGGTTTAAGTTCTAGAAGTCTATGGTTATCACTGCCTACATCTTATTAATATATCCTAACTGGGATATCCTAGTTAGCTCAGTTGGTTAGAGCACAGTGTTGATAACATCAAGGTCAAGGGCTCAGATCCCTATACTGGCCAACCTCAAAAAAAAAAAAAAAAACACAAAAAACACAAAAAAACTATAACTGGCACTTTTCTTTCCCAAGATAAATATTGTCTACAATTTATATCCTAATAGCCTAGCTAATAAACATGGTAATTACATGTATTTGAAAAGCCATATTGACATATAATATATAAAATCCTGATATATCTACCCTTTGACCAAATATTTCCATTTTTAGAAATAATCAGACCACTAAATTTGAAATTCTTATTTAAAAATTACTGAAGGATACCATTTGAGGCCTTCATTTGAGTACAAGTTAAGAAATGTATATTTAAAAAATATACAAAGAACATAGATATCATAGGCTGTGACTGTCTTATTAGTAATCACATAAAAATCAAAATATTATAAATTTTAAGGTTAGTGTTTTCCTAAGTTACTATTTGAATTGTGTATAGTTTAACTGAGAGAGGATTTCTATATTAAAAAATAAATATCAACCAAAGGTAGTCCATGCTAAGTGGTGAATGAATGAGTACATAGATTGGAGAAATGCCCTTTGGGTGCAGTGTAGGCAAGATCACAAAGAGCAGGATTGGTTAGATTCATCCCTTCTTTTAGTGGAAGAAATAGGACTTAAGGGCAAGCCAGAAGCCACCAGCTGCCATTCAGGGAGCACAGCATCTTTGTCAGACCTTGTGTTTGGCACTTTGTATTCTCCCCCTTCTATTCCCTTTATGTTTGCAACAAACCATAGTGTAAGCTTTCATATTCGTGAAGAAAATTTTGGGTTTAAATAATTTTATAGGAGGGGAAATGGCATTATAGGCAAGAGTAGAGACTTTTGAGTGTATATTTTTTAAACACTGATTTGGTCACAGCACACAAGTTATATCCTAATAGCCCCACTAATAAACCCTCTTGTGAAATGAAAAGTAATAAGATAATTTCTTAGGACCTTTTCAAATTTTTAATTTCTGTGCTTTATATTTTTGTATCATAATAGTAACTTTTTTATAGTACAAAAAA